TGCGGTGAGGCTGCGCAGCGGGGGCTCGCCCCCTGCACCGCGCTCAGCGGCGCAGGCGGGAGGGCGGTCGGTGGCGGCGGCGGCGAGGCGCGAGGCGGTGGCGGCGGTGGTGCGGGCGGCGGGATGACAGGGGAGGCGGCGGGATTGACAGGGGAGGCGGCGGCCACGAGCGGAGCGGCGCGAGAAGGGGGGGGGGCGGCGGCGAGGCGCCGGTGAGCGAGGCGCCCGCGCCATATCAGAGAGGGACGCGCCGCTGCGAGATGGAGGGCGGCGGTGACGGAGGCGAGGCGCGAGGCGGCGGCGGCGGCGGCGGCGGCGGCGGCGGCGGCGGCGGCGGCGGCGAGAACGGCGGCACCGAGTCTCGGTGAGCGGCGGCGGGAGGAGGAGCAGCGGCGGCGCTCGCTCGCTGTTGGCGGGAGCGCTTTTGAGCCTGGGAGCCCATGCCACTGCGACCGGCGTGCCCGGGAACGGAGATCGCGCGCGCGCCGCCACTCACGACGCGCGCGCGATCTTCGCGGAGTCGGGTCCCCAGAGGGAAGCGGTCTTCTCGGCCGACGTCCAGCGGCGCGCAAGGAAGCAGGCGCAGCGGAGGCGGCCTAGCACCGGCTCGGCGCCGGGCGGTTGCGCTGCCCGCGAGCCGCGTCCTGAGCCTCGGCAGCGCGCTGCGCGGCGCGGCGCTCGCGCTGCTTCTGTGCCGAGAGCGGCATGATTCGCCAGCTGAAGCTCGAGACTCCTCGGGTCCGCGAGTTCTGGGGGTCACGCGCAGGTTGAGCGAAATTGGCGTAAGCGTCTGAAAGCAGTCTGGGTGGTTAAAGATGCCCTGCAGGCATATTCAAGATGCGTTGCGTTTTCCCTATTGAAAGTCGCGACAAATGTCCCTCGTCCAGCCTGCAGCATGGCGAGGCGCGAGAGCGCAACGCGGTCGCGGTGGCGCACCGAGAGGGGCCGCCTGGCCACCGCTGCCACGGCGCCGCACGGACTTCACCCACTTTCGCGACTGTGGCCATCCAACAGTCTGCCGGCGCGGCGGGCGCATTCGAATGCGCCGGCCGCGCCGGCAGACTGCCAGTGCTTGCTATCCCGGGCGCACGTCAGCCGCGAGGACAGCGCTGCATCGCCGCCACAGCAACGCCTCCCCCGCGTGGCCGCCGCCAGCAATGCCGCCGCCAGCCGCCGCATCCAGCCGCCGCCGCCAGCTGCCGCCAGCACTGCAGCGACAGCTCTCTGCTGCCCAGGCGCCGCCGCGGCCACGAGTGTCACCGCCACGTCCCACGAGTGCCACCGCCGTCAGCGTCGCCATGGCCACTGCCGCCGCCAGGGGGGCGAGAGAGGGGCTCCATATGTGTGTATGAGGTGTGTGTCTGGAGGCTGTCGCTTCCTGTACAGGAAACGCAGGTATTTCGAATAGCAAACGCGCTCAGCTCTACAGCGCTCCAGAGCGCTCTACATCTCTACAGCTCTACAGCGCTCTACACTCTACATCCTCTACACCCTCCCTCAGTCTCTGCTGCCGCCCGCCGGAGCACTGCAGCGGGCTCTCCTCGCCGCCTTCGCTGCCGCTGCATCGCTGTCAGCTCGTCATTTCTGTCTACGGTCATATGGGGGCGCCATCGCTGTTCTCTCTCTCCTGGGGTCAGCTCCAAGCCCTGCCGTGTCGGGACGTCGCCCCCTCGGCTCCCCCCCCCCCCCCCTCTCGCCGCTGAACTGCATGCTGCGATTCTCGCCCCTTGTCGCCGGAGCCAGGTGCGTGTGTCTAATCGTAGTGTGGGGGCCCTGGCCCCCCTCCGTTTTCTGTTTTCTGTTTTTCACAACGCCCGCCCGCCCGCCACCCCGAGGCGGCTCGGCCCCCCACTGACCCAGAGATCAAAAACGCTCGGCCTGCGCAGCCCTATAGGCCCTAGCTGGGCAAAGAAACCAGCACCTCATCAGGCTTCCCTGAGCGTGAGAGCCGCGTACAGGGTACAGCTCTCGCGGTTGATCGCGCCGGCGCCGGAGCGACACCACTGAGACGGCGGTCGGCGCGCTTGTGTTCCGGGGGCACACACCACACAGGCACTCGGGAGCAATAAGACATGGGCTCTACGGCTACACATCCCGAACCACCCTCTCCAGCTGCAGCTCGATACATTCAACACTCTCTAAAGTCTCAACGACCTCGCCTCAATCAACCTCGACTTCCCCCTCAAGAAGTACACGTAGACGTACGTTCGCTACCGCACGACCAACCTGTACTCGCCGGTGCGCCTCTGTCGGGGGCGGCGACGCCACTCCACTCTCAGAGGTGCGTCTGCCCGTCCGTCTG